GGGGGGGGGGAAGAAAAAGAAAAAAAGTATGTTTTTTTCAATTTTTTTGTCCATTGCAACAGGACCCCTGCAAGCTTGCAGGGGGTCCCCTCTACTTAGCAGTAGTGGTAGGTAGGTAGTGTAAGGCAAAAATGAATTTGAGAGAAGAATGTAGTGTAGTTTTAGAAAAAAAAAACCGGGAAAAAATAAAAATAAAAAATTGTGGAGGGAAACTGAATGCGTATGTCGAGCAGCGTCGCTGAGACCCGGTAGGCCCCAATTGTTTTTTTTTTTTTTTTTGAGGCTGCTCGGCAAGACGCGGTCAGTAGAATTCTTGGTTTGGCAAAATAGGTCCAGACTCCAGAGGCAAGGGTGGTGTAAGGCGGCCTTTTTCTTTCGCCCTTTTTCTTTCGGTGAGAAGGTTTTAGGCCCCAGTGTTATTGAGGGCCAGATCCCACTGGCAAGGAGGATTGAAATAATTGGCTGAATCTGGACGTGTTCCACACAGAGATGCAGAAAAGCAGTTCAATCGCAATTGTTTGCACCTCTCCAGAAACAAGTCCAGATTCATAGGCTTATTCCAATCCTCTTTGCCAGTGGGATCTGGCCCTGAGTGTATCGAGCGTCAAACTGGTTTTAGCATGATCCTCGTCGAAAAAATAGGTGTTGTGCGTGTGTAATACTGTGTATAGAATTCAGGCACATGCAAGGCAGTTGCAAGTCCTTTTTTTCTAAACAACTTGTGGCCTCACAAGGGTCTAGAAGGGGAACGGGGCACTGGCCCGGTGGACCCGACCGACTGACGGGCAATCAAAATGTGCATCGAGAAAGAGAGAGCTTTGTAAGGCGACAAGATGATTTAGACGTTAAAGTTTAAACCATCAGTACCTCCGAGTCTCTCTTTCTCGATGCGCATTTTGGTTGCCTGCCGTCCACATCATGAACCGTCACCGGAACATGGCGGCCTACCATGTGGGTGCTACCAGCCATTTTGGCCTCGCGTTAACCAGCACAGAATCGCTGGGATGGGTCATGGTGGTTTAAAGGGTGTGTTCATTCTCTATCTGTGTCTATCAGGCCATGACCTGTTTGACACTTGGGGGGTCACCGTAGACCAAATCGTGAACATGGTCCGACCGGTCTCAGACATGGGGCTTGGACGAGGCTACGTGCAGCCAAACACAGAATGAGGCTGACCGGTGGCTTGACTCGTGTCCTCGTCTTCCTCATTCTGTGTTTGGCTGCACGTAGCCTCGTCCAAGCGTCATGTCCGAGACCGGTTGGACCATGGGCCTTGGATCACAATAGGCCAAATTGCAGATCTTGGAGTGTGAGGCTTGGGCGAGGCTCGGTCAAGCCACGCTTGGACGCTTGGGTCACTGCAGTCTAATCGTGGATCGGGAGGAGGATGACACTTGGTTCATTCGCTATCAATTCAGCAGCATGACTGTGGGTTACCCGCTGGTCAAATCAGAGATCTGGAGCGCTACTACAGGAACATTTTCTTTCTTTATGTAAATAATAAAGAAGAAGAAAGAGGAGAGAAATGAAAAGATAGACGTAGATAGTAAGATACTGCGTGTGCAGTCAACAGGGGTTGTGACACAACAAAGAGTAGCATGCAAGAGAGAGAGAGAGAGAGAGAGAGAGAGAGAGAGAGAGAGAGAGAGAGAGAGAGAGAGAGAGAGAGAGAGAGAGTCCTCCTGCCCAACGGGAAATCAATGTTGATCAGGCGTCCCTTAGGCCACGATTGGAAGGAAATGTATGTTATTTATTGGTGATATCTGACTTGCTAGCAGAGAAGGAACTTCAAGTTGGTTGTCGCTGCCCAGAATAGAAAGGAGGTAGGACTATAAGGCCCTGCTAAAAGGAAGAAAGGAAATCAAAGAGAGAACGACATCAATTTGTCTATTCGTGTTAACGACGTCAATTGTTTGTTTACTCATGATAAGTCTTTTGCGATGGACAGTGCACAGAGTGATTGCTCATCAAGCTTGTGGTGAAATGTATATACTTGTCTTTTCTGATACCGTATTGTCCACTACTTAGTATACCGTAATGTCCACTACCTTCTTCCCCCGAATACAACCTACGGTCATTATAGCTGTATTTGAGGTATTTTTCAGTCTAGATACAGCTATAATGACCGTACGTTGTGTTCGGGGGACGAAGATAATTTCACGCTTAAAAATTTACCTGATTCTGATATACTCGTCGCATAAAAGTCTAAAGTTTACAGTTAAAAGTTACAATCGCTGACATTCGTTGTTTTACTTTTTTTTTTTTTTTTTTTTTTTTACTGAGCTCTTTCTTTGCGATTTGCGGTGCGCAGAGTTCCTTTTTGTAAAGCGCCATTTGCATCGCCGTATACGTTTGCAATTATCGGACTTTCGGCGTCAAGCATGGTAAACGCAAAGATCGCTTCGCTGAGCACAGCTACTGCCGCTCTCGATGCGAGTATTAACTCGCTTGCAGAGTCGCTGGATCATGGCCGAGTTTTGCGAGCAAGGAACCGTGGCAGTAGCAGTGCCACACCACCTCAGCAGGCATCTGCGTCGCCCAGTGACGATCTGCGTTCATCCGTAAGGCAAAGGAATATTCTTGATACACAGCGAACGTTCCGCTTCTGGTCTTCCTCCTACTCGGCTTTGGGAGCAAGCAGCAGAGATGAGTACCGCCTCGGATGCTCCAGAGCGTCCCTCCAGAGTTGTTTTGTGACTAAAGGCGGTTCCTTCAGACGACACGGGGATTTTGACAAACGTTCAGGAGAAAAAAGATCTAACGGTTCGCATCCGTTAAGGTCACACACAAGGCATAATAGACATGGAGGTCACTGCACGTGTGCAGCGGTACGGGTCTTCACTGACTCTTCAGATCATTTGATTCATTTCCCTTTCTGCTGTAATCAATGACCTGCAAAAAAAAATGCAGACTACCAAACCTGCTGTTGTCTCAGTATTGCTGCTTGCTGGACGGATTTTTTTATTATTATTATTTTTTTTTGCGGAGAGATTTCCGACTTCTCCTACGATTTGCTGCTGTCTTCTAATGAGCGTGGGTGTGACCCACTCGTGGATGACGGTGTGAATGCCGGCTGGAATGCCTGCAGGCCTGGTGCCTTCTAAGTTATAACCTGTGGTCGTGTGTGTGCTGGGGACGCAGCGACTACCGTCTTCTCCTGAACATAAGTTAACATAAGTTACATAATGCATGTGTGTTGTAAACGAATACAACGCAGAGGTTGTTGCTCTCTATTCAAATACAACACACATGCGTTCTATTAACCTCTATTCGAATACAACGCACATGCGTTCTATTCTAATACAACACACGTGCGTTCTATTCGAATACAGGCATAGTGTTCTATGCGAACAGCTGGTATATTCGAATACAACGCATGTGCATTCTATTTGCATCATTGATTTTTTTTCTTCTTCGAAAACTCGAATACAACACGTATGTGTTATGTTCATGGGATGAGGGAAGGGTAGTGAAAGGGAGGTGATGAAGGATAGAAAGCAGGTAGCAGCGGGTAGTAGGCGGATAAAGACAAAAAGGAGGGAGGTACCTTTGTAGGCCAAGGTAGCAGTTGAAGGCCCGGCGGACTTGGAGTTAGGCTGGAGGGAGGGAGGTGCCAGCCAGGAAGGGCCTGAATTGTGAGCCTGCGGGGGGGCAATAACAGGGCTGCAGAGACGTTCACACCAAAAGAAGGGGAAATGGTAGGCCAAGGAGGCCGCTGCGGCTGCCTGCTTGGAGGTTCACCGGGCGAAGCGGCACCAGTCAGGTATATCAAGAGAGGCAACAAAGAGCTCAGCCTCATTTCTCGCATGCAGTTGTGGGCACGCTGCTGGAGCGCTCATCCAGCAAGTGTGGTGCTGGGTGGAAGAAGAAGGAAGGAGGAGAGTGAAGGAGAGCTTGGCTCCCTCCTCGGCTATGGTGGAGGACACCAAGGACGACGAGGAGGAAGACATGGCTATGGAGAATTGAGCAGGAAGAAGGAAGGACGAGGAGGAGAGTGAAGCAGGGAGGTGGTATGCATCTTCATCTTCTCGGTTGGCGCCGCATTTTGAAAGACCCCTACCAGGCTACCGTCTTCACCCGAATAAAACAGTCGGTCATTATAGCCATATCTGGACTGAAAATTGCACCAAATACATCTGTAATGACCAGGCGCCCTATTCGGGTGACGACGGTAGTGGGATTATCCTTCAGAGGAAGACTCTGGGGGCGAATCGTGGCATGGTGGTGGTAGTGGGAGAGGCATGGTAGCCTTGTGTTGTCCTTTGCACATTGGAGCTGGGCTCCGATGGTCCGCCATAGCCACCTTCTCGACCTGGAGGTAGGAGGAGGTGTAGGTTGGCTATGGTGGATCTCTTCAGTGGCGGCAGTTACGGGATTGATTCTGGTTGATTCATTCCTTGTTGTTGTTCTTATTATTTTTAATATGATGTTGGGAGAGATGCTGGAGGTGGGAGATGGTGGCGAGTTGAGGGAGGAGTGACATTGGCTCTTGCTTGTGTTCTTCTTCTTGTTCTTCCTCCTTTGTTTATTTCTCTTCTCAAGACTCAATCTCTTTCATTCCAGTTGCAAATTGCAATGGATCACATTGTCTTTCTTTGAGTTTTGCACTGTGAGACACCAAGGATCTTTTTTTTTTTTTTTTTTTTTTTTTTTTCTCTTTCACAGGCGATATTCCTTTCATTATCAGAAATTCAAAATTGAATCTCGCTCAGCATATAATGTGCTTAGTTGCTAACCAGAGGTAAACCTGGTCATCTGTGTGCCTCTAGTGCCAGCGGCGTGTCTGGAGTGTATTTTTTGGCTGTGACAGACCTTTCTTTGTTTCGTGGGTGTTTTGCTGGCTTGTGATGGGGTGTGAACCGACAGTCTGTAGAGTTTTCCATCTGGTGTGGGTGAGTGA